CAAGGGAGCACTTCTGAGCACTTTATGAAAGGGTTTCCTGCCCTCTTGTCAGTTATTCCCTGTGTGCATTTGCTTCCTTTCCTAACAGAGCAGCTTATTCTGGGAGGACTTTAAAGATGAACTCCCTGCTGGTAACTTATGTTTCCACTTCTGTTTTGAATTTTTTTCATGGAATCTTTGTTTTTATAAGTAAGTTTAAAGTTATGAGGTAGTCAAGTTTGTCTTTATAGTTTTGGTTGTTGATGTAATGCTTGGAGCCTTTTCCCCACCAGCATTATGTAAGTAGTGCCTGTGTTGTGTTTTGGGGCCTTATAATATTTTTTACCCCTTAAGTTTTTAATCCCCATAGAATTGATCTTGGTGACGGGTGTGTGGTAGTAATCTAACTTTACGACCGAGGAGTTTGCCCATATGGTTCCTTTAGGAAGGTTGTCCTGGCAGAGTGAGCAAAGTGGGTGGGAGTCGGGTGAAGGGGAGGAGTAGGGGGGCCGCTGAGCGGCCATGGGGGGTGGTGGGAGGGGGACCACAGGGACAGAGCCCTCCGGCTGTAGAGTGAGCGGTGACAACCTGTTGGCCCTGGTGGAAGGAGAAGGGCATTTCTGTTTGGGGTCCTGGTGAGACATCTGATGATGATCCTATAATTGTGAGCTCGAGCCGGAAATATGACCCACCCACAGCCTGTTCTGCAAATAGCCACGCGTCACCATGGGACAGTGTCACCCGTCGTGGTTTGGGGGTTACAGAGGTGACTAGACAGTGGTGCCCAGTTTTGAGAATCTCCCTGTGGGGGAGCAGACACGTGAACTGCCAGGGACAGGGGCTGGCGGGCACATGGTTCTCTGTTCACAGAAGTCACACATCTCACAGCAGTGAGCGTGGGTCGGTGGAGCGCAGGGTGCAGTCAGAGTTGGGGAGGAGGTGACAAGAATGACCAGGAGAGGCTGCAGAGGAGGGGGCACACCTGCCGCGCTGAGGGGTTTGCACGCGGGTTCCACTTCAGGGTGAAGGCCGGTGTGCTCCGTTGCCTCTAGACTGTGGACTGTGCGGCCGACAGCAGGTATTTCCTTCCAGAAGCACATCTTCAGGGTCAGGATGGAGGAGTGAGCGGCAGCGCGGCTCCCCTGCTTTCGTCACAGCAGGTACGAAGGCCAGCGGCCGTGTTCGTGTGCTGACGCAGTTTTCCGTGGGTCCCGTTCACAGCTGCAGTACGGTGACAGTCAGGACAATCCTGTTCAGTACTGGCTTTACAAAGAAGGAGGCGAGCGGAGACACAGGAGGCAGAAAGAAGCAGATCGAGAGCGGAGACATCAAGAAAAAAGCAGCGTGAGGGAAAAAAGAGACAAGCACTCAAGAGAAAAAAGTAACTCGTTCTCTGACAAGGAAGGGGAAGACAGACACAGAGAGAAGCGTCACAGGGAAGGCGCTCGTCTCGACGAAGAGAGGCATCCCGGTGACACGGGTAGAAAAGAGAGGTCGTCAAGAGAGGAGCTGACGAAAAGAGAGTCCAAGGTACCGTTTCTGACGCTTCGTAGCCTTTGTAGCCATCCCCAGGTCACTACTCTTAGAGAGGAGGTAGATCTCCGTGTGGCCAGATGATAAGACCTGTTGCTGAGAAGTAGTAACCTTGGTAAAGACGTGATTCAGTCTGTGCAGTGTGACCAACAAAGACTGCTGACCTACTAGGAAATAGGAAGTCACGTTTTCTGATTATATCGTGAATGTACTTTTAACATCTATTCAGAAATCTATCATAAAACTGAAATTTTGAAACATTAAAAAGACAGATTTTTTTTTTTAATTTTTTTTTTCAACATTTATTTATTTTTGGGACAGAGAGAGACAGAGCATGAACGGGGGAGGGGCAGAGAGAGAGGGAGACATACAGAATCAGAAACAGGCTCCAGGCTCTGAGCCATGAGCCCAGAGCCTGACGCGGGGCTCGAACTCACAGACCGCGAGATCGTGACCTGGCTGAAGTCGGACGCTCAACCGACTGCGCCACCCAGGCGCCCCCAAAAGACAGATTTTTAAATGGCAAGTAAGTGAATAATTTAGCAAAATGTTTGAATCGGAATTAATAGTATTAAGTTTACAGAACAAAGCCAACAGAACACAAAAATAAAACCATTGCTTGCAAAGGGCCTGACGCTGCAGTTGCTTCATATTTTCCCATACTAATTGTATTTTTTGTTCTCGTCTGTACACTGTTTGCTGTGCTGTTTTTCCAGACTCTGAAGCAAAATGATTTTATTCTCCTGCCTCTTGGCAGTGCTCCCTGTCAGGTGGAAGCAAAGTGAGGGGCAGGTGGTATGAGTCTCGGGGCCTCAGACCTTCAGGGGCACAGACTGTGGTGGCTCAGCCAAAGCCTGGGACTCTGACTGACAGGTGCCCCTCCACGAAAATGTGTCTGGTGGAGGAGTGCGTGTTAAGGATGTCCCAAAAAACCTTTGCAGTCGCTGCCTGGCCTCGTGGCCATCCCAGCTGGCTCTTTGCTGAGTGCGATAAATCAGCCTGGTGCCTGCACCTTGTGGTACCTTTGCCAACACCTTCCCTCACAGCGGGACTGCACCCCTACCCTGTCACCTGCAGCCTCCACCCCTCATCAGAACACTGGTCATGTTTCTTAGCAGTTGTATGACAGGAGCAATTTTGTTAACCATGTGTGTATGTGTGTATCTCAAGTCCCTGGACCTCCCTTGGATCAGCCTCACTGTGTGTTTACATTCATAGCCATGTACTCATGTCAACAAGCTGAGGGAGGCAGTAATTGAGAAGGGACCCTCACCGAGAGGTATTCATCCCTCTTGTGTTTAAAATCGCTTTCCCTAGGGGCACCTGGTGGCTCAGGTGGTTAAGCGTCTGGCTCTTGATTTTGGCTCAGGTCATGATGTCATGGTTCTTGAGTTCAAGCCCCATGTTGGGCTCTGTGCGGACAGTGTGGAGCCTGATTGGGATTCTCTCTCTCCCTCTCTCTCTCTATTCCTCTCCTGCTCACACTCTCTCTTTCTCTCAAAAATAAATAAGTGAACTTTAAAAAACCTTAAAAAAATTATTTCCCTAGATTAAAATATTTTTAGTGTGTTTTTCTATTATTTTATTATGAACATTCTTAAGCATACAGCAAAATCGACAAGTTTCCACCACCTAGATCCTACCACTAACATTGTATTGAACTTGCCTATTTTACGTTCCCTAGATCACATTTAGTTCCTAGAAACAACCTGTTTGGTTCCCCACAGAAATGCCTTTTTGAGACTTGTCACAATATACACATCTAGCCTAAGAAATGGCCCTGTGTTAATAAAACCACTGCCTTCAACAATGCTCTTTCCATAGGGATTAACATAATAATTAGCCCCAAGAGAGACTCTTTTGACAAACTTCTTTCTTTTCAATGATTTGTTCATATTTGTGGACTGGCCACTGTGTGATGGCCTTTGTTCTATGTGCTGAGAACACAGCTGTGAACACAAATTTGTATTTTTGTGGTGTTTAAGTTTCATTGGAGGAGCCGTACAATAAAGAAATAAATAAGTATATAGTACATTAGAAGCGATTAGTGAGCACTGTGTATTTAACATTTCTCTTTGCCGTGACTTTCAGGCGCTCAAAATATGCTTTTTATCTTAGTTACTATGTTAGCCTGGTGATTGATGTAATTACTGCTGAGGTGACCATCAAGTACGAGGGCCAGTGTTACTAACTGTGTAACAGGTGTAAGCCAGGACCGTTCCCGGGGGTCGTGTTCTCCGTCATTCTCTCTCACTTTCTCTGGATGGTTTTTGGTCTGTTATTTTAACTGTGCGTGACTTTTATTGTGTGCCTCCTCCAGTTTCTCTTTTTTGTTTTTAAAGTAGGCTCCACACCCGAGGTAGGGCTTAAACTCACACCCTGAGATTAGGAGTCATGTGCTCAGGCGCCTGGGGAGCTCAGTCTGTTGAGCTTCTGACTTCGCTCAGGTCAGGATCTCACAGTTGGGGAGTTCGAGCCCCGCATTGGGCTCTCTGCTGTCAGCACAGAGCCTGCTTCGGATCCTCTGTCCCCTACTCCCTCCACCCCTCCCCTGGTCGCTCTCTCCCTCTCAAAAATCAATAAACCATTTTTAAGAAATTAAAAAAAAAAGGTTCTCTCCCTCTGCCCCTCTCCCCCACTCACGTGCTCTCTCTTTATAAAATTAAAATATAAAAAGAAAAAATGAGTTGTGTGCTCTGCTGACTGAGCCAGCCAGGGGCCCCCATCCTCTAGTTGTTTTTGTTTTTTTAAAGTTTATTTTGAGAGAGAGAAAGAGAGAGCATGAGCATGAGCAAGCAGGGGAGGAGGCAGGATGGGGGTGGGGAAGAGAGAGACAGAGAGAGAGAGGGAGAGAGAGAGAGAGAGAGAGAGAGGGAGAGAGAATCCCAAGCAGGCTTTGCACTGTCAGCTCAGAGTCTGACTCAGGACTTGATCTCATGAATCACGAGATCATGACTTGAGCTGAAGTCAAGAGTTGGACGTTCAACCAACTGAATGACCCAGGCGCCCCACTCTTTCAGTTTTCAGGGACAAAGAAGGCATGGTTAAGCATAATAACTATAACAGAGTGTCTTCTAAAGGTAACTGAGCAATATTGACTTATCTACCAGAAGAATCCCGTGGCCCTAGCCCTCTATTAACCACTGCTGAACATGGATGTGCTCCTTTCTACTTTTGGGGTAGTGACTTCAACAGGTCCTTGTGGGCATCTGTTGCTAGCCAGAACCCTCCTGACCAGCCCACACAGCTTGGGAACAAAGCACTGAGCTCATGGCTACCTTTTCTTTGTTTTCTTTTTATCTAGATAGCCATTAAATCATAATTTTTCCCTACCTAGAACTACTGATTTCATTTTCTCCCCATTCCAATGTATTTAGTAGACTGATGCCAGACTGTTCTTCCTGTTAAACATGTAATTATACTTTTCTCTAATTAATTTTGGAAGAATTTTTAAGTACAGGAAGAAGTAAAAAAAAAATTTATTCATGATCCCAGACTCAGAGATAATCAATTTAATAGTAAATATGTATATACTTACAATTCTTTTCCTATATGAAGTTTTCAATTAGCAATAATCGCGCCTCGGATAAACCTCATTGGCTACGATACTGTCACTGCGCAAAGCTTCCTATATGAAAATGAACTTTATAAATGAACTTTATAAAAATGCAAAATTAGAGTCATGCTATTTTTTCTCTTCATTCTGGAAAATAAATTAAAAAAATTTTTTTTAAATGTTTTTTTTTTTTTTTTAGAGAGAAAGAAACAGAACCAGCATGGGGGGGGGGGGGGGGCGGCGGAGAGGGGGAGACACAGAATCGGAAGCAGGCTCCAGGCGCCAAGCTGTCAGCACAGAGCCTGACGTGGGGCTTGAACTCACGAACCGTGAGATCATGACCTGAACCAAAGTTGGACACTTACCGGACCGAACCACCCAGGTGCCCCTGGAAAGTGATTTTTAACAACTGGATACTTAATGGCCATCTGGTATCCTTTCCTATGTCATAACCTTATTTATTAACAAGTAACCTAATATTGAACATTCAGGTTTTTTGATTTCATAAATATTCTGTAACGAACAGATTTAAAACCTTAATACGTCTTTCTTTTCTATGAATAATTTCCCAGAAGTAGAATTTATAGGTCGAAGAAAGTATTTGAATAGTTTTAGCTATTTTTAAGGCTTTTGATACACGTTGTGTATTGCCCTCCAGATTGTCTTCCTTAGTGAGTGATTTAGTCCTGTCTTCCTTCTGCTCTCACTCTTCAGGGATCAGTCCCCAGGTCTTGTAAGCTTTCCCTGCCCTAGGGAGGTACTCCCCTTGTCCCCTGGGGTCTTGTCACCAGCCAGCTCTCCCTCCAGACCCCCCACCCTGCAGGTCTTGCTTCCTGCCCGCGCTTATTCAACAGATGCCTCTCTCGTTTCAGTGACCTACCTGGATATGTTGGTTTGCAATCTGATGGTTTTAATTTTATTTTTATAGATTCTCTTAATTCAAGAGAAGATTGTTTACATTCTCTTTTTTGTAGGTAGATGGATCTCTGAAGTAGCCACATTATGTTTGAAAGTGCATAATTTTAAGCAGTGCAAGGGACCAGTCAGATTTATCTGAAAGTAATATGAAATTGATAAGTATAAATTTCTTTGACTTACTGAGGTAATGTGTCATCACCTTTTAGTACACCTTTTCTTATCTTCCTTACATTAAGTATACAATTTACTGAAGCTAGCTGGTAAAAACATACTTTAAAAGATTAGAGATGCTTTTGTGGAATTTTGAGTCCATGCTTGTTTTACAGAGTTCACTAATTAGTTAATTTACTACAATCCATTAATGAATGTCATGGAATTTTCTGTTTCATAGGACAGTGAGCACAGAAATCGGGGTGCAAGTTCAAGGAGAGATCCGACCAGCAGCCAGGAAGGATCATGCGCTCTCTGGTGACTATTATGTGCACTGTGCTTCTTGAAGAATGCTTTAAAATGATTTTTTCTTACCGGTCCTGATTATAGCCAGTAAATGAAAGTGAAGTATGGGTATACTCATGTACTCCTGATACAGCCCCTCCAAATTATATCCTAGGTGCCCTGAAGGAGCTAGGAAGCTTGTTATAAATTATTAGTCTTGTTTTGCTTTTTTAACATCTGCTCATACGAACTTGGAAAGTTAGCGCTGACTTTGGAGTGCGAGCGTGTGTGTGGGGGGGGAGCCTCTGCCCTGTGGCACAGCCGGAGAGGGCGGGGCCGCTGCAGACGGGCTCCTGGCACCCTTCCCTGCCAGCAGGTGCCCCCTGGCCAGTGTGTGTAAGTCAGAGCACAAATCAAATATGCCTTCTTTGGCTTTGTAGCCTTGGTGAGGGCCAGGGTGCAGGCACCAACCTGCTGGAGTGGCAGGCCTGCCCCCTCTTGGGACGTTGGGTAGTCCTCCAGAACCTTTTCTCCGCTGGTGAGGGTCTCAGGAGGGTACCTATTTTGTGTGGGTGTTGTGAAGGTTACGGATTAGAGTTTGTGTGTAAAGTCTCGTTTTTGTAAGCTCTAGAGTTTTTATAAGTTTTTATTTAAATTCCAGCTTAACATGCAGTGTTATATTTTATGTTAAATTCCAGTTAACATATAGCGTTATATTAGATTCGGTGTAGAACACAGTGACTCAGCACTTCTGTACATCACCTGGTGCTCATCACAAGTGCATCCTCGTCCCCAACACCTGTTCCCCCATCCTCCCACCCACCTTCCCTCTGGTGACCAGCAGTGCGTTCTCTGCTTTGTCTCCGTTTCCTGGTTTGTCTCTCTCTCTTTAGGAGAAAAGAATTTGTTTCTTAAATTGCACATGTGAGTGAAATCATGTGGTATTTGTTTTTCTCTGACTGACCTTGCTGACTCCCTAGCTCCATCCGTGTTGTTGCAAATGGCAAGATTTCATTCTTTTTTATGCCCAAGTAATATTCCTGTGTGTGTGTGTGTGTGTGTGTGTGTGTGTGTGTGTGTGTATCACATCTTCCTTATCCATTCATCACTCGGTGGACACTCGGGCTGTTTCCATATCTAGGCTATTGTAGATAATGATGCTATAAACATCAGGGTGCATGTATCCCTTTGAATTAGCATTTTTATATTCTTTGGGTAAAAACCTAGTAGAGTCATTGCTGGCCCTTACGGTACTTGTGTATTTAGCTTTCTGAGGAACCTGCACCCTGTTCTCCACAGTGGCTGCACCAATTCTCGTTCCCGCCAAGAGCGCACGAGGGTTCCTTTTGCTCCACGTCCTGCCAACGCTTGTCATTTCTTGTGTTGTTGATGTGAGCCGTTCTGACAGGTGTGAGGTGATAGCTCATTGTAGTTTTGATTTGTATTTCCATGATAATCTGTGATGTTGAACATCTTGTCGTGTGTCTGTTGACCATCTGGGTCTTCTTTGGAGAAGTGCCCATTTTTTATTTGGATTATTCATTTTTCAGGTGTTGAGTTTTAGAAGTTCTCTATATATTTTGGATACTAACCCTTCATCCGCTATGTCATTTGCAAATATCTTCTCCCATTCCATGGGCGGCCTTTTTAGTTTTGTTGTTTCCTTCACTGTGCAGAAGCTTTTTATTTTGATGAAGGTTACAGATTAGAGTTTGTGTGTGTGCTCTTTTTGTATGTAAGCTCCAGATTTTAATTTGTTCTCTGTGACAACCACGTTTGGTAATTCTTTTTCACAGATCAGGGAAACTCAGGTTAAAAGTACTTTGCCTAAATTTTGAAGTTTGAGCAAACCTAGCAGTTAGTCCTGGGGGTGAAGGTTCCTAGACTTTGTATCGCAGACCTGCTGGGCTGCCTGGGGCTTCTGCTCAGTTCTCTGTTTCTTTAGACCACATGCTGTATTGAATTGGTGAGTCTAGGTTCTGAAAGTGAAGAATCCATTTAAAATTCTGAAAGCCTTAATTTTAGGTCCTAGCTAACATATAGCATGTGATTAAAAAATAGAACTTATTTCGAGTTAAATCTTTCTTTTGGGAATAAAGATATGTTAAACGTAAAGTAATGTTTTTGATTGACCAATAAAATTACAGGAGTTTTCTAGAACTCTCATAAGGATATAGAGTCATACATAGAACTTTGTTAAAACACATAGTTTTTTCCCTCTACTGAGGATATTTTCTTTCTAGGGTTGCTGCTAGAACAATGAAAATGTAGAAAGACCTTAGTATTCCTTGCTCTAATGAAGCAGGCTTTGGAAGTTTGCCAGTGTATAGCATTTCTTAGTCATATCAGATATTGCTAAGAGCTTTCATTGACGTGTAAAATGTTTTAGGTTTCATGTCTTTGTTTAAAATTAATTTTGAATTTGGTCCTACTTTCTAGGTATGCAGAGAGTTTAGTAAGAAATAATGGAAAAGATAAAGACTCAAGAAAGAAGGTAAGACATTTATGTTTATTTTATTTTTAAGTTTATTTATTTTGAGAGCGAGAGAGTGTGAGCAGGGGAGGGGCAGAGAGAGAGAAGGAGAGAGACTCCCAAGCAGGTTCCGTGCTGTTAGCACGGAACCTGACATGGGGCTTGAACCCACAAACCGTGAGATGATGACCTGAGCTGAAATCGAGTCAGACGTTTAACCGACTGAGCCCCCCAGGGGCCCTTCTGTTGATTTTCTTAGGCGGCAAGATTAGCCACGAGTGTCTGTTTGTGATTCCCCTTGATAGCAGAGCCTGAGACAGGCCTTGCCAGCAGGGGAGTTTTTCCTGAGTGCGTATTCCAGGAGGACATAGCAGACATATTTAGGTTAAAAGACTCAAACAGATGGAAAGTGGAAAACTGGACAAGATAAAGCATCAGACGGCAAGTGTGTCATTGCCCCAGTGCCTGCCCTAGTGTCAGACAGAAGTGACTCGGAGACAGATATCGAAGGACCTGCATGATGGTACAACAATTAGCTCACAGGAAGATGCCACAGTTATAAGTGCACGTGCACCTAACAAAAGAGCCTTAAGATACAGAACTAAAGGGAGAAATAGAGAAGCTCTACGGTAGCAGAGCCTTTGGCGCCCCTGGTCACTAGCGGATAGAGCAGCAGTGTTTCACGCAGTACATTAGGCCACTTACAGGAAGGGACAAGCTCCTGGAGACATAAATCACCGCGGCTGCCTCCGGAAGAGTCGGAAGTCAGGCGAGTGAGGGAATTGTGTCAGTTATTAAAGTCTTCCCGCAGGGAAGCCTGGGCTCAGACCTCGCCTGCAAGCTCTGTCTGCAAGCTCTGTCCTACATTTGGCGTCAGCACCAGCACACCGCCCACGGCCCCGCCCTCCCGCCGCGGTCTCCGTGCTGGTGAGCGGTTCTCAGTCTTTGTGTTGCAGCCCCGCGTCATATTTCCCATCAGAGGAGTCTTCATGGAGATGATCGCTGCGAAGTGCTGGGCTCTGGGCTTTTAATTATCATCCAACCATTTTCTTAGTTTGTTGTTTTGTTATTATAGGTAATGTGGCAAGCAGATTTGGGTTATTATTTATGAAGAACAATTTTTTCTGTCACTTTCTTTGGTAGTTGTCTGAAACCCGTGACACTGAGATAATCATCTTTAACATTTGTGCCAAATTTTTATGTGTCGCTTTATTCCATGTACATACACGAAACACATGTACTTT